TTCAAAATTCATATGAAAATTCAAAAACCCTCTCTACGTTACCCTCGACCTTAGGGCGCACTACCCTCACCAGGGGCATTTGATAATGTCATTTTAAGTCATTTTATTTTGGCCCGTTTGAGGCATTTTTTAAGACCCATTAAGGCATTTTACTAAGCTGTGCGTTTGATGGTATTTAATTTTCTAAGCACCCGTTATGACATGGTATTGTGGCCAGTTGAAGCTTCTTATTTAGGCCCGTTATGGCATGGTATTGTGGCCAGTTGAAGCTTCTTATTTAGGCCCGTTATGGCATGGTATTGTGGCCAGTTGAAGCTTCTTATTTAGGCCCGTTATGGCATGGTATTGTGGCCAGTTGAAGCTTCTTATTTAGGCCCGTTATGGCATGGTATTGTGGCCAGTTTAGGCTTTTTATTTAGACCCGTTATGGCATGGTATTGTGGCCAGTTGAAGCTTTTTATTTATACTCGTAGGGGCATTAAATGGTGGCGCGTTGAAGCTTTTTATTTAGGCCCGTTAGGGCATTGTATGGTGGCCCGTTGAGGCTTCTTATTTTGGCCCGTTGAGGCATTATATTGGGGTATCTTGTGGCATTTTACTGGGCTAGTTTTTGTATATTTCCCCACGTGTTTATGCAAGCAATTTTTTGTTCGTTTTTGTATAAAAATTGACGTCTCGACGGCAGCTTCCATTTCTCTGGGGAAAATAGAGCGACGAGTGGCCGCTTGCTGACCTTTGCGCTGGCGGGGCCAGGTTTTTTTTTGTGGCGTGTGGCATACATGCCTGTCCTGTGTGGCATACATGCCTGCCATGTGTGGCGTACTGTCTGCACGACAAAAGACGTTATGCCGGGTGTGGCGAGACAAGAGGCCGGTGTGGCGGGTGTGGCGGGACATGAGCCAGTGTGGCGGGTGTGGCGAGACATGATCCAGTGTGGCGAGACATGAGGCCGGTGTGGCGGGTGTGGCGAGACCGTAAGCCGGGGGGGCGGGGGGGCGGGACATGATCCAGTGTGGCGAGACAAGAGGCCGGTGTGGCGGGTGTGGCGAGCCTCAAGGCCAGTGTGGCAGTGTGGCGAGACATGATGCCGGTGTGGCGGGTGTGGCGGGCCTCAAGGCCAGTGTGGCGAGACATGAGACCGGTGTGGCGAGACAAGAGGCCGGTGTGGCGAGCCTCAAGGCCAGTGTGGCGAGACACGAGGCCGGTGTGGCGAGCCTCAAGGCCAGTGTGGCGAGACACTCTCGCCACTTTCTCGTCCCAAATGTCGGGAGTGAAAGTAAGGCCGAAGACGCCGGTCAAGATACCGCCGCGGCTGCGCTCGCTTTTGTCTCGTTTCATTGACATGAAATTATTACGTACACTCAGAGGAATGAGCGAGTCTTCGTCCAAACAGCGATGCATTTGTTACCTTTGTGTGGGTCATCCTGACCCAGTTTGACCCGGCGAAAGGCCGCATCACAGCTACGTCCGCTCTCTGTGGGTGAGAAAGTGTGTCACTAAGTGGACAACGTTCATTCCATTCAGTTAGGACAGTTAACTGGTAGATGTCCGCAGTTAAGACAGTTAACTGGTAGATGTCCACAGTTTGAACTGTTAACTGGTAGATTTTAAACTGAAAAGATGGAGGCAGTTCAGTCATTTGTATGTATCAAGGAAGCGTATTCGTGCACTCAGAGGGATAAGAGAATCATTGTCCGGATAGCGATGCACTCTTGCCGTTGTTTAGACCATCCTGACTCAGTTTGACTCGGCAAAAGGACGTATCAGTGCCACGTCCGTTCTCATTGCTCGTGCTGCGAGTAAGAAAGTGTCACCATTTGAACAATATGACACAATCATTTTTCTGGGTGACTAAGATTCGTATCCGTGATAACATATCTTCTCACCTGCAAGTCAAATGATAAGAGCGGCGGCTGCTGATAAGATAGGCGGTCAGTTGACAACCAGATGAATGCTGCGCGAAGACACCTCTACTGATAAGACGGTCAGAACTAAGTGGCCTTATCTCTTATCTTGCGTGCATCTATCGAGACTTCGTGATGCAAGTCGCGTGCATCTATCATGACTTCGTGATGCAAGCCTTCGATAAGGTTTATCACAAAGGAAATGCAACATAAAACACTTCCAGACTAGCTCACAGACAGAACAGAATCCATCAGAATAGGCAAATATATAGGTCCCCCACTCCAACTCCAGACAGGTGTCCCTCAAGGGGCTTCTCTCTCCCCCACACTATACACTATGTATATAGTATATAGAAGCTATATAGTATATAGAAGCTATATAGTATATAGAAGCTATATAGTATATAGAAGCTATATAGTATAAAGAAGCTATATAGTATATAGCTTCTACACACATGACAACCCACCACCACACCACCACCATACCCAACACTACAAACACAACACGCTATTCATCAGATAAACACATTCGAAAATAAATGGTTAATTAGTTCCACATTTCGAAGTTCAAAATCATCTCATCACTAGACAAAAAACATCTGACAAATTGTTAAACAACACCCTTACCGACAACGGTAAGGTTTTAGGTTTAAAATGTACAACACAAGGCTTTAGGTCGCAAGTAACATGCAGTTAGGAAAGTAGCAAATACAGTAGGAAATAGTAGCAAATAGCCCTTGCAAATCTACATAAAATATACAGATTCTACCACCTCCCTCCGACCATAAAACACATTCTATACTACATGCACATTCGTTAGGTCATCATGTATCCTATAATACCCATAAACACCTATCCAGAGCAGCAATATTCCAACTGCAGAAAGTCCAAAATAAAGCACTGAAATTCGTCACAAACACACAATGACCTGACTTCATATCCTCCCCAACACTACACGGACAAAGACTACAAAACATTCTTACAATAAACACAGTCATCCATCAACATGCACGTAAAACCTGGTCCACCATCCAAACAAATGATCCCCAACTCTTCAACTAGATCATATTCCTCCCATACGCCATAGCAAGGCAGCACCGGTCATTCCATAGCTCCAAATTACACTCCCTAGGTCCCCCACCTCCATCCATGTACAAATAACTACACAGCGGACCATGCTGCACCCGGACGGCAGTTGTTCCCATCACGTTTGGGTGCAGCTGGTCCCAAAACAAAACACCATCCAATACACCATCACGCTGACGGACTGACGCGACTCACCGAAAGTGACTTGAAGTAAAGACGGGAGCGAAAACCCAGTACGAAATAAACCTATACTAAAGTAGCCTCCACCTCCCTCCGAGTCTCTAGCGACTGACACGCCGCCTTCGCCTTCATCAACATCAACCTTCATCAACATTATCACCTCCTTCCCATATCAATTGATAAAATACACAAAAAAAATTATAAAAGCTTTCAAAAATGACAAAAAGCGAGGACTCGTGAGAGTATGCATAAATCTGATCTTTGTATAACTGTGCTCAAAAAATTGTAAATAATGCAAATAAAGAACCACCACCCTCTCATCACCCACCCACTTGAACCATCCATTGCACTGACTGCTTTACAACCCCTTCTACAACCCCAAACAATCCCCACTGACCTATAACCCACCCAATCATACGCAACACTCCTTTTTCATCTCTCACCTTCTCTCACAGCTACAACATCGTAATGCGTATCGTATCCACGTATCTGATGCGTACCCATTCATTTTTAGATACAATATGCGTATCTAAATCTCGTTGCGTCTGTGAGTGACATTCCTCACTCACGTGAGATCAGCGGCCGCGTGTCAGCTGAGTTGCTCGTGTGAAATTTAATGCCCTCACTCGCCTTACCCTCACACGCTCTCCCCTCACACGCTCTNTCTTCACCCACCAGGTGGGTTACCCTCACCCTCTTCACCCACCAGGTGGGTTACCCTCACCCACCACCCTCTTCACCCACCAGGTGGGTTACCCTCACCCTCTTCACCCACCAGGTGGGTTACCCTCACCCACCACCCTCTTCACCCACCAGGTGGGTTACCCTCACCCTCTTCACCCACCAGGTGGGTTACCCTCACCCACCACCCTCTTCACCCACCAGGTGGGTTACCCTCACCCTCTTCACCCACCAGGTGGGTTACCCTCACCCACCACCCTCTTCACCCACCAGGTGGGTTACCCTCACCCTCTTCACCCACCAGGTGGGTTACCCTCACCCACCACCCTCTTCACCCACCAGGTGGGTTACCCTCACCCTCTTCACCCACCAGGTGGGTTACCCTCACCCACCACCCTCTTCACCCACCAGGTGGGTTACCCTCACCCTCTTCACCCACCAGGTGGGTTACCCTCACCCACCACCCTCTTCACCCACCAGGTGGGTTACCCTCACCCTCTTCACCCACCAGGTGGGTTACCCTCACCCACCACCCTCTTCACCCACCAGGTGGGTTACCCTCACCCTCTTCACCCACCAGGTGGGTTACCCTCACCCACCACCCTCTTCACCCACCAGGTGGGTTACCCTCACCCTCTTCACCCACCAGGTGGGTTACCCTCACCCACCACCCTCTTCACCCACCAGGTGGGTTACCCTCACCCTCTTCACCCACCAGGTGGGTTACCCTCACCCACCACCCTCTTCACCCACCAGGTGGGTTACCCTCACCCTCTTCACCCACCAGGTGGGTTACCCTCACCCACCACCCTCTTCACCCACCAGGTGGGTTACCCTCACCCTCTTCACCCACCAGGTGGGTTACCCTCACCCACCACCCTCTTCACCCACCAGGTGGGTTACCCTCACCCTCTTCACCCACCAGGTGGGTTACCCTCACCCACCACCCTCTTCACCCACCAGGTGGGTTACCCTCACCCTCTTCACCCACCAGGTGGGTTACCCTCACCCACCACCCTCTTCACCCACCAGGTGGGTTACCCTCACCCTCTTCACCCACCAGGTGGGTTACCCTCACCCACCACCCTCTTCACCCACCAGGTGGGTTACCCTCACCCTCTTCACCCACCAGGTGGGTTACCCTCACCGACCATCCTCTTCACCCACCAGGTGGGCTACCCTCACCCACCATCCTCTTCACTTATTAAATTACTATTCGTTATGTACATTAATCATTATACATGATACATTAAATCATATTCGTGATACATTAACTCATTATTCATGATTCTGATTTTGTAATAACGCTTGTGGGCGCCAAAAGGGCGGTGTGGACGTGGGCGACGTGGACGACAAAGCGCTACGCCTCGAGGTCCCCATCGAGACCACGCCGTCCATCGACGAGATCACGTCCACACTCCTGCAGGACTTGCCGCCCTCCCGACAGCCGTAAGTCTGAGCCGCCCTCCCGACAGCCGTAAGTCTGAGCCACCCTCCCGACAGCCGTAGGTCTGAGCCGCCCTCCCGACAGCCGTAAGTCGGAGCCGCTCTCCCAACAACCGTAAGTCTGAGCCGCCCTCCCGACAGCCGTAAGTCTGAGCCGCCCTCCCGACAACCGTAAGTCTGAGCCGCCGTCTCTGCTACAGGCACGTGGCGGAGTTCATCAGCGCGCTGTACCGTGCCTACGTGGACCTCTTCTTCACGTACCTGGAGATCAACCCGCTGGTGGTGACGGCGTCCCACGTACACGTGCTGGATCTCGCCGCCAAGCTGGACGCCACGGCCGAGTTTGTCGCCAAGAGCGCCTGGGGCGACGTCCAGTACCCGCCGCCCTTTGGACGAGACGCCACGCCCGAGGAGGCCTACGTCGCCGACCTCGACTCCAAGAGTGGCGCCTCTCTCAAGGTTTGCTGTAAATAATACACTGAATTTCAACAAAATTTACAGGTTTTGAATGATTAATGTTCGGAATAGCATATGGTTCGCTCTGGTTCCTAGTGGTTCACAGTGGAGGGGGAAGGGGGTTAGTGGTACCTGCTGGTTCTCAGTGTGATTTGGTGGCCCTCAGTGAGATCTGATGGCCCTCAGTGTGGACTGATGGCTCTCAGTGAGGTATGATGGCCCTCAGTGTGGTCTGATGGCTCTCAGTGTAGTCTGATGGCTCTCAGTGTGGTCTGATGGCTCTCTGTGTGGTCTGATGGCTCTCAGTGAGGTCTGATGGCTCTCAGTGTGGTCTGATGGCTCTCAGTGAGGTCTGATGGCCCTCAGTGCGGTCTGTTCTTGATGTCACCAAGTATATCTTGATGCACTTTGCCCTATAGCACCTGATGTATTTTGATGGTACTTGATGGTGTCTGACGATATTGATGGTATTTGATAGTACTAATGATGCATAATGATGCCTAATGCTCTTGGCAGGCTTGTAGAAGATTGACGAGATGTTGACAGTGCCGAATTTATTCCACTTTCTCTTGAATTAAAATTAAACTAATTGAAAAATTAATGAGAGCCCAGTAAATGAAAATAATGAAATAAGTCATTAAATATAATTTTGAATAGAAGCATAAATAAAAACCGGTACAATTTTATCGATGTGATGCCGTGAACATATTTTAAACGAGGACTTCATTCATAAACCCAAGTTGTTTGTTGTTGGGAATCCATCAATGATCCTATCGGGGATAATTAAAAATCACTTATTAACGATTATTGGGTTGATATTCCCCCTTAATACCTTCCTCTCATCCCTGATGCAATAAGCTTGATAAATAAACTTCACACTCAGGAAAAAGAATGCGTCACGTTGTCCAAATAATGAAACACTCTCTGATACGCTCTAAAGTTGTTGCAAACTGGCTCCTCACTTTTTGGACAAGTATAACTCATTTCCTTGAGTGTATCACTACAGCTGACGGTGCTGTACTTCTCACTCATAAAAACGAATGCCTCACATTGTCCAAATAATGACACACTCTCTGCACTGATACGCTCTAAAACCGATTTGGGTCATCACTATTTGGACAAGCATCACTTATTTCTCTGAGTATAACTGCAGCTCACGGTGCTGAACGAGCTATTTGGACAAGCATCACTCATTTCTCTAAATGCATCACCACAGCCGACGGTGCATCACTTATTTCTCTGAGTATCACCGCAGCTGACAGTGCTGAACGAGCGGGGGCGGATCTGGACGATGGTGGCGGGGGGCGGGGCGTCCGTGATCTACTCGGACACCATCTGCGAGCTGGGGGGCGCGGGGGAGCTGGCCAACTATGGGGAGTACTCNAGGTTGGTACTACGCTCAATAATTTACGTATAATTTAAGTTGAAACTTATGTTCCCGGAGAGTGAAATACGGCGGTATAGAGGATTAAATTGCTTGGCTTTCATTCAGTAACAAGGGTTGAGCTAATAGTTCAGGCGGGTTGAGATACGAAACACGTCCGTTTAATATATATCAATATCCGCTAATTTGCAAATATAACGCGTAAATCCTCAATAATTGAGCGATACAGTGAAATTTCCTTTGAATTCTCAATCCAAATGATGAATTAAAAATGGAAAGGGCCCTAAGATAATAATTCGTACGAGTACACCTTCAATTTAAACATGCCATTTAAAATGACCTGAAGAGAATTGGTCACACGAATTCTTATCGGTTAACAAACGTTGCAAATATCTGGCAGAGAATGTATCACATTCTCAGTTACAGTCCAGCGACTACGGAGTACACTGCTTTACAGTGCTTTACTGTGCTTACATTACTTCACATTGTTTTACCGTTCTTTACAATTCTGGACTTTACTTTACTGTTCTTTATAGTGATTTACAGTTTCGGTCAAACGGAATTAGGCTTCAAATGTCGACACGCCGATACGAAAAAATTGATTTAAATAAATACATAATATAGCGTGGTTTCTTGTATAGTCTCCAGTTACCGCTTTCATGTCTTTGTAGAGCCTTTCTTTTATCTATTAGGATACTTGACGTCTCCCTGCGTCCCCTTGCCTCCCCTCCACGTCCTCATACATCCCTTCTCCTCTTCCTCCGTCTTCCCACCTCTTCCTTTACTAAAAGAATGAAAGGAATTTCCCCTCACCCCCAGGTCCTCATCATCGGGGGAGGTATCGCGAACTTCACTAACGTGGCGGCGACGTTCAAGGGCATCGTGAAGGCCCTCAGAGAGTACCAGGCCGCCCTCATCGAGGGCAACGTGCGCGTCTTCGTGCGCCGTGCCGGGCCCAACTACCAGGAGGGGCTCAGGTGAGGGGCTACGAGGGGCTCAGGTCAGGGGCTAGGAGGGGCCAGGAGGGGCTCAGGTGAGGGCTAGGAGGGGCTCAGGTGAGGGCTAGGAGGGGCTCATGCAGGTGAGGGGTGCCAGAAGGGGCTCAGGCTAGGGGCTAGGAGGGGCCAGGAGGGGCTCCGGTGAGGGCTAGGAGGGGCCAGGAGGGGCTCAGGTGTCTCATGTCTTTAGTTGCTCGGGACCGCTGCTCGGCGGCGCCCCCGCAGAGACGGCGGCTCCGGGGGAGGGGGAAGGAGCGGAGGTTCCGCTCCAAGGATGTCGGAGAAGGATGGGAGCGAGGAGAGGAAGGCCGCAGCCGGTCCAGGGTTAGACCAGAAGTCTAGTGGAGTCAGCGAGGTGGGATGCGAAGGGCAGCTGAAGAGGTGATGAGTGGTGTGGTCCATAGTGCCGCACTCAGGGCAGAGAGAACTATTAGCTGCACCAATGCGGGCAAGGTATGAGTTGAGCCATGATGAGTAGCCGGAGTGGAGCTGGGAAAGGGCGCTTCTGGCCGCCCTGGGGAGGGAAAGCTCGCTGGACGAGACGGAGGGGGCAGGGGTCAGCAACACTTTGTTAGGAGCTGCTGAGGCCAGGTAAGAGGAAACAGCAGAGCTGTGCAGGGTCCTGAGGGCGGTGGAGTAGGAGTCGGGGGGAAGTGAACCCTCCTCCAGCAGGTGAGAAACTGAAGGGAGGAAACGAGTCTGAAGCGTGTGCTTCATGGAACGGGGCCCCGATGTCTGGGTGACGATGGGGTAGCTGGGATGGTGCGGTCGTAGGGCACTGGCAAGGTATTGTGAGCAGAGCAGAGAGAGGTGTTCAGCCACGGGTAGGACCTGAGCTTCGCTGTGCAAGTGGGAAGCGGAGGCCATNAGGGAGGAAGCGGGACTGAAGCGTGCGCTGCATGGGATGGGGCCCTGATGTCTGGGTGACGATAGGGTAGCTGGGATGGTGCGGTCGTAGGGCGCTGGCAAGGTACTGTGAGCAGAGGAGAGAGAGGTGTTCAGCCTCTCAAAAGAAGGAGGCGATAGTGACTTGGTCAGATGGACGAGCTGCGGCCGAGGTTAGGAGAGACGATGGGTAGAAGCGGCGCCCCATATGGGGGCGCCGCCTAGCCGAAAAACGGCTCGCAGCAGGTCCGGGAGTTGTGTCCGTGTTTGGCCCAACGGGAGCGACGGGTCGTCCCGGAGGGGTCCATCCGTCGAATGGGTGTCTCATCATCCCTCACTCCACTCACCCTCTCACCCCACTCCCCCCCTCACAGGGTGATGCGGGAGGTGGGACGTACACTGGGCGTGGACGTACACGTGTACGGCAACGAGACGCACATGACGGCCATCGTCGCCATGGCGCTGGGGCGGCGCCCCGTCCCTCAGCTGACCCCCACCGAGCCCCACACCGCAAACTTCCTCCTGCCGGGGGGACAGACCAGCACCAAGGTGAGGGGGAGTGGGGGGACAGCACCAAGGTGAGGGGCAGTGGGGGGAAAGCACCAAGGTGAGGGGGAGTGGGGGTACAGCACCAAGGTGAGGGTGTGGGAGGGGGAGAGAAAGGGTTGCGAAAAGGGGGAAGTGCAGGGGGAAGACGAAAAAGGTTGGGGTTGAGTGGGCTGGGAATAAGAGAGGGGAGAAGATGACATGTCAGCACCCGGTTGAGTGGGGCAGAAGGCCTGGGGTTGCACCACATCCCCAAGAGGTTGTAAGAACGCCAAGTTTCCCCTTAGCATACAACCCCATGGGGGTGAACTCCTATCATTAGCATTCCCCGTAGTGATGAGGATTAGGTGGGGGCTGTTTACACCCCACTCAGCAGCAGCTGTCTACACCCCCACTCAGCAGCAGCTGTTTACACCCCCACTCAGCAGCAGCTGTTTACACCCCCACTCAGCAGCAGCTGTTTACACCCCCACTCAGCAGCAGCTGTTTACACCCCCACTCAGCAGCAGCTGTTTACACCCCCACTCAGCAGCAGCTGTTCACACCCCCACTCAGCAGCAGCTGTTTACACCCCCACTCAGCAGCAGCTGTTCACACCCCTCTTCTCCCCTCAGAATCTCCCCTTCAACATCGCGGTGCTGGCGGAGTATTTCCCTTTCGCCGTCAACTTGGTACAGTTTTTTTTTAATATTTTTATCCCTCTTTCGTTTTGTCCCCCACAGTTTATCCTAAATTGTTCGTGCTCTAATATCTTTCACGGGCAACTGCGGCGACTCGCTTCTATCCATACGTGACTCACTCACATACACACCCAATAACTCGGTTATACCCATCCTTATACCCATCCTTATACCCATCCATATACCCATCCTTATACCCATCCATATACCCATCCTTATACCCATCCTTATACCCATCCTGCAGATCATATTGGTGCTGTTTACCCATATTGTATATTATATTTGTTGTATGTGTTAATCTGTACCAATAACTGTATTTGAATTTTCCCTCGTCTCCGCGTTCCCCTCGTCTCCGCGTTCCCCTCATCCCCGCGTTCCCCTCATCCCCGCGTTCCCCTCATCCCCGCGTTCCCCTCGTCCCCGCGTTCCCCTCGTCCCCGCGTTCCCCTCGTCCCCGCGTTCCTCTCGTCCCCGCGTTCCCCTCGTCCCCGCGTTCCCCTCGTCCCCGCGTTCCCCTCGTCCCCGCGTTCCCCTCGTCCCCGCGTTCCCCTCGTCC